TCCATTTATTGTTTCTTCACCTGATTATGTTCCTCATCTTCTTTATGTTCATTTAGGTCTTGCATTTATTTCTTGTATATTTGCTCTACTCTATTTTCCTCCACAACCACCAAGTGCACCTTCAGCAGCAGCTGAATTACTTATTCTTCATTCGATTAATAAACAAAATAATAATTCATTGAAAACATCCATGAATGATATTTGGCGATGCTTAACAACACCTTCATTTGTGCTGCTCACAGCAGCTAGTGGTACTCTTTCCGGTACATTTGGTGCATGGACAAGTCTATATGATCTTATTCTCAAACCTGAAAATTATACTGAACAACAAGCAGGCAAATAGAAAAATGTCGATAATAATTGAAATCTGCTTTTTGTTTTTTTTAGGATGGTTTGGTTTTGGTTCATCAATAGCTGGAATAATTGGTGGTTTATGTTTAAGTTTTCTTGCTGATACACGTCGTTTTCAACATTCGTTAAAAGTTCTTATTGTTACTTCATTTGCCGGTTGTTTAATATCGATTGTTTGGTTTCAATTATCTGTTCGTACATTTTTCTATGATAAACCAATTCTTCCATCAACTGCTGTTACGATTGGTTTATCAATTGCATTAGCTGGTCTCTTTTTTGGTGCTGGTTCACCATTGATATATGAAGCTATTGCTGAAATAATGTTTCCTTTGCCAGAATCTTTATCAGCATCAATTCTTGTTCAATGGGTTAATGTTACCGCACTTATTCTTTTATTTATTGCACCTAATCGATATAAATTAATGAATTTACTTGTATTAATTGTTATAATTACTTGCATTGTAATGGTATTATTAGCACGATTTTCTTATAAAAGACGTGATGAAGATGAACGAAAACGACTCCAAAAAGAACAAGATCAAATATTAGGTCATGACTGTTAAGTCTATATAGAAATGATGTTATTAATCAACCACAATATGGCACATTTTTGTAGAATCGTCCGGAAATTATAAAAATGAGACTTTTTCTATATAATTCGGCGTGAAAAAGTCTACTTTACAAATCTACATTCTCAGTTGTTCGATTTAAACAGAATAATATAAAAAAAAAAGATTTTTTTCTTTCTTGAAACAAAATTAGTACACACAGCAAACTAATACTATTGCTGATACTTGCTGAAACACGTGTATGGTCCGATCTCAGTCATTCTTAGATGGAATAAAATTTCAAGTATAGGATCTTGTAGAACAATGTTCACTCTGCAAAATCTTATATGTCACCAAACAGTAGATTACAGATTAAGAGAATTTTCCACCCCCGAACATTGGGTCCTGTTTTGCCATGCCTGCAAATGAGGTTCAAAAAAGATTTTTCGCAAGTCAACGAATAAACGAAAGCGGCATAACGGATGGGCAAAAGTTTTGCATTCATTTTGCTTTCGCTAAATGCTTCGCAACGAATCATTATTTTAACTTCATTTTTGCGTACTCAAAAAGTGAGTACACTCTAGAATCGGTCAGTATGTCCGGCCGACCGTTTACACAATAACTTTCGAAAGGAGAGTCCGATCACGATGAAATTTTCTATACAGTTCAGTCTTTACAATATCTCGGTCGAGTTCGAAGATGAAAAGGATCGGCCGAGCCGTTCCTGAGTTATTGCAAAAATACCCATTTTTCCCTATAGCTTCCTATGGAAAAATCGACCCATCGCCGCTTTCGTAAAAGACTTTTCCTAGCATAGTCAATTAAAACCCCAACTATTATATACCATTCGATAGAGAATTTCAAGAGCTACAAAATGATATATAAAACATGAGAAAACCTTCGANNGTGTGGGTGTGTGGGTGTGGGTGTGGGTGTGCGACTGTGGCTGTGGGTGTGTGGGTATGTGGGTGTGGGTGTGGGTGTGTGGGTGTGTGGGTGTGTGGGTGTGGGTGTGTGGGTGTGTGGGTGTGGGTGTGGGTGTGTGGGTGTGTGGGTGTGTGGGTGTGTGGGTGTGGGTGTGTGGGTGTGGGTGTGGGTGTGTGGGTGTGGGTTTGTTTGAGGGTGTGGATGTGGGTGTCGGTGTGGAGATTCTCGTCATCTACACGAACATCCATACCGACACCCACATCCATGCCCACACCCACACCCACACCCACACCTGATTTTAAACTGTGCCACTTTAATCGATTTTAATTTCGTAATCCAAAAAACGCTTTTTTCTCGAGATTTAGCCGATAAATTGATATTTTTGATGATTTTTTTGGACTCCTCAGCCCGACAAATAGTAGCCATATCACTGGAACAATCTTTGGCATACACCCTATGCCTTGCGGGACAATGCTAGTCAGGACTTAGTGACACTCTACAATATCGGTTAAAATCAATTACGTTCGATTTTAATCGCTTATAATCCAAATTACCAATTAGATCATTGTGAAATAAAATCAACATTTAAATCAATTTAAATCATTCTCTACTTCCGTCAGCCGTTGAAATGCCATTCGAGTCATCCATTCAACACAGTCTCCATCACCACATGAGTACCTCTGTACAGGACACAGATGTTCATTACATTCGATTGTGTTCGGTGTGAACGGACAGTGATCTCCATAATTCCGAGAATATTTATCAGTTCAATCCATACAATCTCGATCACCTGTCAGAATAATCGACATAGTGAAGAGAGTCTGGAAGATTCGACATTTACTCATGATCAAACCAGCATTCCTCAGCAATATACATTCCAATGATACAACGAAATTCTTCATCTTTACATTCATTGAATTCTAACTTGTCACAATTTTCTTCATCGATCCCATTCGAACATCCCTGCACACCATCTCAAATCTCCCTCCAATCAATACACAAAGGACTTGAATCACAATATAACGTCTGATAGCAGAGAATGTCACTGTATCTCTGTATATCCCATGAATCACCAATCTCCTTTTGATGAAACTGAGCTCTGATCGCTTCACTAAATTTGATTTTACAGTGGATCAACTGATATTCACAATACTTGCCGAATATGTCCAACTGTGGACGTTGGCAGATCAATTGATCATCGTTTTCTTTAATTAGTGATCGATTCTAGTAAATACTTAGATCTGACCAAAAGTTCTGAGATCTTTAAATAAAAAAATAAAGATAAGGAGATATTTTTAATTTTATTTTATGAAATGTTGAGGACAGTTGCCATGATTATTTATATCAAGTTCAAATCTTTCTAACAACTTATTAAAAGTTTTTTTGAACTCTTTTTCGAAAAAAATTTTAGCTACCTTGGATACCGCATGAGCTAATCATGTTTCATTTGTTTTAAAATTTTAGCGAAGTTTTGTTAGATGTTGTCACTTGCGTTCTAGTAGTACTAGTGACGAAGTATAGATTTATTTTGTATAGGTTAATCATAAGTCACCTGATTCTAGCTGGCTTATTGAGGATGAATCGTCAAAGACTATTGTTTATGGAGATAGATTTGAACACAAACTTTGTTTGACATATGTTATAAATCAAATAGCCCTGTATGTAGATAAAGGCATGACAGGAGGTTATAAGTATTATATTGAAAATTGTCTGAAGCCTTTTATAAATGTAATATGAAAACAAAAAGAGGTGTAAAGTGCAAAATGTTCAAAACTGCTTGAGGATCATCGTTGACTTCATACTTATCCGATGTTATTAATTATTTGGCAGAAGAAGGCATCAATATAATGCCGCAGCAGTCATATTTGCTGTACCTACTACTACCTAATCTTTGATTAAGTAGCTCTATCGAAGGGAGTTTAATTAATTAAATAAATGAAATATTATGTACTCATGCGGTATCCAAGGTAGCTAAAAAATGTTTTCGAAAAAGAGTTCAAAAAAACTTTTAATAAATTGTTAGAAACAATTGAACTTGATATAAATAATCATGGCAACTATCCTCAATATTTGATAAAATAAAATTAAAAGTATCTTCTTATCTTTATATTTTTATTTAAAGATCTCAGAACTTTTGGTCAGACCAAAGTACTTGCATAAAGATCGAGCATTTTCACACTTGAACTCCACTTGAGAACTTCATTTGGTTCAACACGTTCATCGAGATGATCAAGAAAAGATTTCTCCACTCCTTCATTTCTACATTGTGTTTGTTGCCGAATCAGTGTGACATTTTCCTCTGGACTAGTGTCCTACAGGTTACGAGAGTCACAGGGCAGGGCCAGGTTACAAGAATTTTTACAGGGCAGGTTACAGGTTGCTGGGGTCATAACCTGCCAATTTGTGATAGTGATAGTAATGTCGACATGCGTAGAAGATTTCAAGACTATGAGATAAGATTTTGCATTAGATCAAATCATATACAAATGTTTTCGACATATAATGGGATGATCTTCTTGTTCTTCGTCGAAAATGATAAAATGGCAGCTAGATTAGTTAGAAAAAACCTTACATCAGACTATAAAAGAAAATTCTCGCAATTACACTACAGGGCAGGTTGCAGGTTACGAAAATGTTGTGCCCTGTAGGCCACTACTCTGGACATTGACAACAGGGAATTTCTTTTCCATACATGTATGTCTAATAAAAAATGTCCTCACCATGAATCCATTATAAGAGACCGTGATGTGTGACGCATGTGAATCTAAACTCTATTTCAAAGAGGGTCATGCCTACAAAGTTCTACCAATCTTGACAGTTTGAAGTCATTTGATGTTTGTTTGCGGTTTTATGGCTGAGTGTTCATGAAAATATACATATTTAAAATCGCAAACAAAAATTTATCCCGATTGGGATCTGAAAAAATGTCGGTTTTCTCGCGAAACCTCTCATAAGTACCTATCCAACCAAGAAAATGGCATGAAGAGACTATTCGTCACTAGTACAATATGCTGTAATTTCATCTCGATGGCAAAAGCTTTTGGCGATCCTTCTCACACGACGAACTTCGGCATCGAACAAACGTTTTGTTAGATTATTTTTCTTCTAGTAAAGAAAAGACAGTGACAAAGTTCAACAGTTTTCATCCACATATTTTCTCTGGAGCTAAGTACATTATTGCATTGAAAAGTCGATGACAACTCTGCCGCTAATTTTATTGTTGAGCATATCATCGAAGATTTGATTAATTTCTTCCAACTTGCGCTTTTCTACTTTGCAGATAATCTTACGTAATTTGGCCAATTCCAATGCTTCTTGTAAGTCTTTACGTGTGCCAACAGTGGAACCAATCAGTTGGATTTCACGCAAAATACAATCAATGGCCGATATAGACATTTTCCCGGCGGGCAATCCAATAGCCACGATACGACCGCCGCGTTTCACCGATTTGAATGCTTCCTCATAGGCTTGAATCAGAGGAACAGCAACGATTGTGGCTTGAACACCTCCCACTTTTTGTCGAACCCATTTGCCATGCTGATCACTTGGACCATCATAAACTAAACAATCAAATAAAAATAGAAATTCGATTTCTGATAAAGCTATTGTGAACTGCATGGATCCTTCAATATTGAACACTTCAGAATTCATTCAATTCTTTTATGCTGGTGATTGAATCTATTTGGAGTAAAAAGGCTGTTTGTTGAGTAAAGGCAGTTCGAAGAGATCAATGAATGTTTCGAACCCCAAATCGTATATTCTAGCTAGTGAACAAGTTCGCTAGAATTCTAGTTCATACTTGCCTTCTTCAGCACCCATCGATTTGGACAATTCCACAGCAGCCTAAAAAAATTGGCAACAATGAGTTTATAGGTACTGAATTGTATTGCAAAACTTCTCGACTCATAATACATTAATGTCTAGGTTTTTAATATGCATTCTACATCCTACTTTGTCATTTGGAGCCACAACAGTCAACACTCGCATTCCCATAGCCACAGCATATCTCACGGCGACAGATCCTAAACGACAATCGCACTCAATCTCATTGTCCTCAGTAAATGAAATGGCATATGTATTTTACCAAGACCACCTACACCCACAATCGACACCCATTCGCCAGCTCGAACCTTAGACACTTTTAGAGCTTTGTATGTAGTGACACCCGCACAATAGAGTGGTGCGGATGTATATGGATCCATGCCATCAGGAAGCTTAACAGCAAAATCAGCATCCATCAGAACATATTCCGCAAAACAGCCATCCATTGAGAAACCAGAATTTTGCTGCTGTTTACAAAGTGTTTCTCGTCCTGTCAGACAATATTCACAATGCAGACAGGTTTTGTGTATCCATTGCACACCGATAATATCTCCTTTTTTCAGATGATCACGAACATTCGAGCCCAGCTCGACGATCTCACCAATTCCTTCATGACCCAAGATTCGAGGTAACTGAGGTCGTCCAGAAAAATCTTAAAAAAACATGAACACTAGAATATATTTTGCAGTCAACAGAGCGATGATCATACCTCCGTTCGCTATGTGCAAATCCGAGTGACATACACCACAAGCAATATTCTTAACCAAAACATCATTGGGCCCTGGTTTAGGAGTCTCGACTTCTTTAATTTTCAGAGGTTCCGAGAAACTTGTCAACACAGCAGCTTTCATCGTCTGAGACACTGTGTGAAAGAGCTTGCCACAGCAGCTCTTAATAAGGCTAAAATATGGAACTCACATAAACATAGGCTACTAAAAAAGTAGAACGAAAGCCCTGAATATCAAAATCATCATTGCACTCCGCGGAAGAAGCAAATTCTCTGAATGAGTTCGGTTCGCTCGTTCCTTGAGAGAGACCACAACTGAGAATAGTAAATCAATGTTCAACTGATATTATTTTAAAATGAACAGTATCTGCAAGGATCTGCAACGAAATACGATGATAGCATACCGCTGGTATTGGCGTTGTATATAGTGATAGCATTAGTGTTCCGAACAAGCAAGTCACTCGAAGAGTCAAACATTCATTTTTCGTGTCTATTCAACTACGCAATGTTGCACGAGTAAGGGAAAACTGAGAGTCCGAGTATTCCAAAGGTACGCAGAGAGATTGACCTACATATGGATTGTCTGAAGGACAGATAGAATTGGAGACGTACATGACATAGCAGATGAGGCATATACTATGGACAATTGATAAGCGTTTCCCAATGTTCGAGTCAATACTGATTGTCGGAATATACAACCTACACTCTCATGCATCAAATATATGCAAATTCTCTCAAACCTCGTGTTCCCTTCTGTGTTGAATATTCAGGATCATGATGACGCAGTCGTCGATCGTCACTCATGCCTTTTGGATATCCCGATAGGTCTGTAAATATCTGTGAAAATAATGAAATAGCGGTTGCAATAGAAATCCGATAGAATACAATAGGATTTCTGTCTGCGTTGAATATAGTGTGGTGCCTGATCATCCTGAATTCGGTACGATCCGCTTTGTGTGAATACATGAAAAAAATTCTAACTGAGCAAATAGTTTAGAAATCAAGCTAATAAATACCTGATTATGACGTGAAAAGCGAAGGTTATGCTTTCATCGTAGACGTAGACGCACGTAAACGACGCTGTTTACAACCCTAAACAATCGTTGCCCCACTTGACTGTAGTATTGGTCATCAATATTTTTCTCGTTCCCTTCAAAAAGTTCGGATGCAGCAAGATTTTGTGCACATTTTGTTTCATTCTGCACATGAGCGCATCACATGTTATCTTGACCTATTTATTCTTCTTTTTTATGTCTAGTATCAGATCAGCCCGAGACCGTGCCCTCTCATTTGCGAACATAAAATCGAAATTAAAAATCTCTGAAATTAAATTTCAGTTGCTTTTTAAATTTAATTTATTGAAATTTAAAATAATCTTAGGTCTTCAATTTTCGGTTTTCAAATTTCAAAAAAATTTACTGATAACAATTTTAAAACAAATTAAAATTTCAATTATATTTTTAAACTTGTTGAAATTTATAGAGTTCGCTAAAGATTGAGTTTCATTATTTCAATTTAATGAGCTGTAATTTGTAGAGTGCGCTAAAATATAGTAGCAGCCTGCCGGGGAAGTTCTCGAACTTNTAATCATTACCTCCTCACATCATCCCACATTAATATATATATATATATATATATATAGTGAGATCGAAACAAATATAAAAAACTTTAACAATTTTATTTTTAAACAATATTAAAAATAGGTTGATTAGACTTGAACATATATTAAAATGTATTATATAGTTGAAAGCATAGGCGACGGAGCCGTTAGGCTTGGGTAGGGTCGATCCAATTTTAAAATTTTCTCTTAGTATTTAGTTCTCATATTCTTCTAATACAGGACATTGTTATAAGATCAACTCATATTTTCTCTACTAACGACTCTTATCAAATTAGACATTAATTTGGCTTCGTTGGCAGCTGTATCGATTTCGAATTCTTCTTTCTTAACGAATTCTCTTAGACTGAAAAATTTCCGAGTAACTCCAGTAGAAAATGCTGTTATTAGAAGTTTCAGCTCGATATGTTGGACCAGAGCGAACTTCAGGTTTATTTATAATCTATTTATGACCTTGAGAAGAATCGTTATCATTTCGTCATTTCAAGAAGTAGAAAACTCTAGAGATTTCAATTCATAATCATTTATATGCTCAATTCTTCATCGGACAAAATTTTGACAGTCGCTTCCCGCTGATTTAGTATGATCATTTTAGCATATACAGTGTTAAGATAAGCAAAAATATGGCAGTTTATTACACCTAATCCTGCTTTTCTCAAAACAGAAATCAAGTATAAAAAATCTAATCTGACAAAATTTTTTCTCTCCTTTAAAATTTTCAAGCAAAAGAAACATAGTTTATAACTTGAATCACGTGTAATTTATTTCCATTTCGCTGATTAAAACCCATGTTCGGAGAAAAACGTTAAATAACTTTAAACAGAGTTTTTTTCATCCAAATTGAGAAAAAACGTATTAAGATGATAGATTAATAATATATGTAAATGAAATTTTTCAAGACATTTAACAGATGAAATAAGGTAGAACTATCTGTCCGACTCAAATAATATAAGAATCTTTATTCGATACTCATGCAATCAGAAAGATAATCTTCCCTGAACTAAAAAATTTTTAAAAAAAGCAACGAAAATTTCTCTACAAACACGGTAGATGGCTGAAAATGTCCTTCGTGGGTTTATTAGAATTTGATCTGCTTTTGAAAAGTGAGATATATTTTGTGAGAGAACTCTTCATTACATCTTCCTAAAAAAGTCAACTTCGATTATTTTTCAAGAAAAATGAATTATCTGATGGAGGACTCTTACTAACAAACAGTTTAATTGTTTGTTTGAAACTTCTGTTTAAAATAGTGTTTGACTTTTGGATACTTAAATAAAAGTAATCTATGCGTAAATCAATATCGGTCAAACTAAGCAAATTACGTTTTTCTTTCAAAAAACAAAGCAAAAGATCAAGAACAGTTTTAAGCAAAGTCTACCTGCTGTTCAGTATTATCAATCGAATAAAAACATATTTACACTATGTAATGACTCAACATAGTTTTAATCATACTATTATTCTCCTCATATTCCTAGAGAAAAATTAGATTTAATTGATTTTAACAGCATATGTTCTGATTTTATTTTCAACAATCAAAACAGAACAAAATAACTTGGTGCTGAATAGTTTTACTTGTTGTTAGACTATTTTTCATTGTTTTGTTAAAGGATAATTTCTCTCTTATTTCGTTAGCTTCTGTTTTTGTTTTGAAACAAATAAAACATTAGAGTTATTATACTTCTAAAGAATTAAAATCTAGCAAGAAAATATTTAATGTTTATCATTCCAAACAAGTAAAGAAAATCTTTTATTCCTTCACTTCCCGATTCATGTGTAACTGAAAAGTTGAACCTAGCTTAGACTGAAATCGTTCCGTTGCCTGTGGTTGAAAGAATTCCGAGAATTTTAAAGAGTCCATCACAGTTCAACAATTAATTTGTTGCTGTTTTGTTATTGTATAAAAAATATCGTATTGATCTCAATAATAATTATAGATAAAACTTCTTTGACAATTTCTTGTTGTAACATATTAAAAAAAATTGTTGAATAATTCTTTTTAAAATAAATTTCATTTATATGATAAGACATATTGAGATGATATATTAATATATATAAATAATATTTATTTAATATTATATTAAAAATGTAAAAATATAAATAAATTTGATTTAGATATAGTTGATATAAAACCACCAAATATGGAAGATTTAACTGAAGTGATAACTGGTGCCGAATTTCATCCACGTGAATGTAATTTATTTGTATACAGTAGTTCAAGAGGTATAATACGTCTTTGCGATATGCGACAATCAGCACTTTGTGATCGACATTGCAAAGGTAATTTATTCGAAGTAAAATAAAACAAAATGATTTATTTATTTTATAATATTAATAATTATTTCAATATATAAATTAGTTTTTGAAGAAGCTGAAGATCCAACAAGTCGTAGTTTCTTTTCTGAAATAATATCATCAATAAGTGATATTAAATTTAGTCATTCAGGAAGATATATGCTTACAAGAGATTTTCTTAATCTTAAAGTATGGGATTTACAAATGAATACAAAACCAGTTGAAACATATCCTATACATGAATATCTTAGAACAAAATTATGTGTTTTATATGAAAATGATTGTATTTTTGATAAATTTGAATGTTGTTGGTCACCACATGATGAGTAAGTTTATTTATTTATTTATATATATTAAATAAAATAATTATTTATATTATTTTTAAAAGTCATTTATTAACTGGTTCTTATCATAATTTATTTAAAATGACATCACGTTTAACAAAAAAAGATGCAATATTTGAATCATCACGTGAACAAGCAATACGTCCACGACAATTATTAAAATGTAAAAAGGTGCTTCAATCAGCTCGTCGTAATCGTCGTGATGAAATAAATCCCGATAATTTAGAATTTTCAAAAAAAATTCTTCATTGTGCATATCATCCAACAGATGATATTATTGCTATTGCAACAGCACATAATCTTTTTACATATGTTGCTAAAGATTCATCATCATCATCATCATTATCATCTTAGATTAAATAAATCAACAAATTTATTTCATCATTTATTGATTAAGAAATAAATATTATTCAAACAACAACTCGATTTATATTTATTCTAATATGATTCTCATCAATGAAGCTCGGTGATTGATGTTAACCATTTTCGAAAAACAATATTTCGGGTTTTTTCTTTTTCTTTTTCTTTTTCTTCATTCATTCGTTCGTTCGTTCGTTTATTCTCTTCATGGTTGTTTTTTTTTTCTTTTCGAATAACATCTTTATGACTGAGCCAGTGAGATTTTCCATGTTTATCCTATTTCTTTGTTTCTTATTTCATTATATAAAACACACATACCATTCCAACATTACCGTCTATTTTTCTTCCTTGTACTTTTCTTTTGCCTTCGTGTTGTTATTCTTTAAGAAAAGCGTATATATACGTACGTACATGTGTGTGTGTGTGTGTGTGTATTTTTTTTTTTTATTAGTCCATATTGTTCCTTGTCTTTAAATCAAAACAAACAAACAAACAAAGATTGTATCTGTTTCATGGTTTTTTTTTTCCTTTCATCTGTCACAAACTTTCAGCAAAAATGATAAAAACAAAACAATAAAATGTTTTGAGAAAAAAAAAAACACGAAAAACTTTTAGTAAAAAATTGAAATAATTGATTATCGATCTGTGAATATATACATTTGCTTTTTTATAAAGGTAATTAAGATATATCAAAACATTAATTTATTCATATAGTTAAAATAATTCTTAAAATTAAAATTGTCAATTTATTTCGTCATTAGAATATAATATTTGTCGTTTTATCATTTATAGCAATACAAATCTGGATAATCATATTGATCAAGACGAACATCTATTTTAATCTAATTCGAATACAATATCAACTTATTAATATTTACTTTTTAAGAAAAAAGAAAAATATTCAATCTGCTGAAATATTTTATATTCTTCTAGTTTATCTATTAAAACTCAATTAAAAATTTGTCGATCTTATTTTATTCTAATCATTTTGCTTTTTTATATAGAAAAGAATTAAAATTCATTAAATCTATATTCATTATCTTTAATATATTTCTAGAAAAATTTATATGATAGACTAAAAGATTAAACGGTAAATTTTAGCATTATGTCAATATAGATGAACATTGTTTAAGTACTATTTCATAGATGTTTAGTTTAGACTATTGTCCAAGGGGGAACAAACTGATTTATAACATTAGAAGTCACTAGAAATCATGAGAAATCACCAGAAATCATCAGAAATAAGTTTATATTATTTACAACTTGGAACAAACGGATTTCTTGATTTCTACTCATTTATCCGTTTCCTGGCTATTTCTAGTGATTTCTACAAGGGAGAAAGCACGGAATCCAAGAATCCTGAATTCTACGGATTCCGAATGAATTTTTAGAATTCTAAGAATTCTCTAGGAATCCTAAGGGTTGCTTAGAATTCTACCCGAACATGCTAGCTGTAGCATTTCAGATGGTGCAAACAATACCAGGGAAGCTAGAAGCATCACCTGAAATTAAGCATGTACCAATTCCAACTCCAAAGTTCCAATTCCGACTCTTGGCTTGGAATTGTCTGCAGTTAACTGGAGTTGAAATTGAAATTGATTGCGTTTCATTTTTTAAGTAACGAAAGACCTTCTTTTTTAGAAAAGAACGATTTTGTAGAAACCTTGACGAAAGTAAGTCGGGATCGGGGAATCCGAATCAGAAGTGGGTTTCTCAAAATTTCGAGCTTGATTTTTTTCACGAAACAACGGATTCTTTGAGGAAATAATGACCTTTAATAAGGCTTACCCGAAGGTAATCGAGGTCGGGGTATCCAAATCTGAAGTCGGTTTTTCAAAATTTTGAACTTGATTCCCTGATCAAGTAAACTGACCCCACTACCACCACCACCAATGATCAAAGTTGGAAAAAAATCGTTATTTTCTCAAAGACCCGTGTTCTCGTGAAAAGAATTATTTTCAAAATTTTGAGAAGCCAACGTCAGATTCTGATTCCCTGACTCCGATTTACTTTCTTCAACGTTTATAAAAGATTGTTCTTTTTCAAAAAAAAAACTTTTTTACTTAAAAAATCAAACCCAGTGAATTCCGTGTCAATTCTAACTCCAGTGAATTCCAGGAATAGGAATTGACTGGAATTGATGCACATCTACCTAGAATGCTAGAAGAATCAGCTGAAACGCTAAAGACGTCGCCTGGGAGGCTCGAGGAAACGTTTGAAATGCCACATGATGCATGCCAAAGTGGTACTTGAAATGCGACAGGTAGTATTTCCAAGTAGCTCCTGAAATATTTTAGGTAGCATGTTCATCCAGCGTTTCAACACTTGCATTTAGTACACTGGAAAAAGAAATCGTAGAATAATAAACACTTTGAAAAGGATTTACGCCAGTCCTAAACTCTTTTTAAAGGGTTTATTATTCTACGGTTCTTTTTTTACAGTTTACATGCATCAGAATTAAAAATAATGCTTACCTAATGCAAACATGTAGCCATTAATTAATTATAATGCCATTGATGCTAATGCATTAGGCTTAATGATGAATGCTAATGCATTAGGCTTAATGATGAATGCTAATGCAAAAGCAAGAGCACTATCATTTTTTTTAAGCTAATACTAATTATAATGCAACACTTCTGATCCCATTCGTTTGTGGTCATTGATATATGTGTATAATTAATGACTCGGTTTTTGTGTTTTCTGAGGTGTAGTTCATAGGATTGCATTAGTTTCACTAGAAGCGTTGCGATAAAGCCGACTTCCTAATTTTCATTTATCTTTCAATACATTCAGATCGATCTATCTTATCAGATATCTAATGATAATCTAATTAGTATTTCAACACACGACAATGTTCGAATTATCTTTTATTCAATTTTACTTGCTTACAAAACTCTTGATAACGTATCAATTGATAGAGGATCATTTTTCTCAGTCAATAGCACCGTCGTTGACTATTTTTATAAGTACTTCGTGGCTTTATANAGAAGTTTTATTTGTGTATTCAATTTTTTCTTTATTTGTTTCAGATTATTTTTGACGAAAATATCTGATCAAGAGTGAATATCATTTTTAATCGAATTATTTTTTCAGATTATTCCACTTTTTGAAGATTCAATTGTGTACACCGTCGTGCAAAAAAAGCCAGATATAAACTCTAGATACCGAAAACGCGATCTGTTATGATGATAAATGTCCACATGTGGATTTTCTACTGGACGACCTTAGAGTTATTGTCCTATAGGAATCTAAACGATAACGGAACTAATCATTGGCGTATTCCGGATGATTTACGTCTTGAAAACGTTGCAAAACGGCCCGTGAATGAGCACAGTATAACGCACAGTATTCGATCAATATACGGTTCGTTTACGATATGAATACAATACGATCCGTATTTCTGCGCCAGATAATACGGTTAAATACGGACCAAAAGGGAAGCGTATTGATACCGTATACTGCCGTAAATACCCCCATTTTTACAGCATTTACGGTCTGTTTTCGAATTGTAAACGACACTGTTTGGATCAACCTGGGTATGCTCTACAACATGGACGCAGTAATTTCTTAAGATGTTGATTTCGAACTCACGGTCATTGATCTGACATGTTACGCGTACAAGCTGATATATATATATATTATACACTCCTATTTTCAATAAACGTTTTTACATAATTGAATGATTTCTAGACGATCATAGTTAATAGTGTTGTGTTCTATTTAATGATGAAAATATATGTCGATTGAAATAATTTTTTTCCAAAGGGAAGATGAGAACGAAAAGTCAGCTGAATGAAAAATCAATTCAAGTCATGAAAAAATATATATAAAATGAATTATAATAATACTCAGCGATTTTTAATATAAATCGATAACTTTTACTACTTTTTGTTTTCTTCAAGATAAACAATTTCGTTCGGCGTTATCTAAGATGACTATGAAAATTCATTTTCTAATTAGAATTTTTCAAATTTTCTCGATTTATTTATTTTCTTTTTTGTTAAAATTCTATTTGTGAATTTGCATGAAATCGTATCGAAGTGGTTTAGCTTTTTCTTATCTATTTTATAGAAAATTTTCAATGAAAATAAAATAATTCTGTTGATTTATAAAAGAACAATGAATATCAAAATAAAAAATAATGAAGAAAATAATAATTTAAACTAATCTTACAAATTTATTGTCATCAATGAAAATTCTTTTTCGATAAATCTTATATTTTACAGTTACGTTTATGTAAGAAAACTGTTGGTTGATGGTGACAAACGACAAAACAAAAGTAATCTTTAAGGAATAAAGTCTATTTATATGAAGTAAATGATTTTAATTTTCAGGTTCTTTATTTGATTGATTTTCTATAGGTCCTTGTATTAAATGTGTAATAATACCTAATGGAATAGCCATGAATGCACCTTTTATTACTGATAATGGATGAAATTTTGTTGGTAAACCAATAATCAATCCAGTTAATCCACCAACCATTGAATATGTAAATACATATTTATCAACACGCTGTTGATTTTTAGAATAACGTAAACGATATGCTCTATCCCATATTTTATATTGATTATATTTTTCTGAATATAATTTCGCCTGCATCAAACCTAAACTAAGGCCAACACCAATAATAGAAGCATATATTGTTGCAGTTCCAACACGACTTAATGTTGAAATAAATGAAAAATTTTTTCTTGATTTATATAATTGATATGGTAATATTGTTGCCATTGTTACTGTAGATCCTAATTGAAAACCTTTATTAATACAATGTAATGTTAGTTCACCTAAAGGATTAGGAATCAATGCACGTTGTTCGTCATTTAAATCGTCCATTATTCAAGTCTAGAATTCGATTTTGAAGTAAATAACAACAAATATAGAAACAAAAAATGTCGCTTTATTATTTTTTTCCTCGTGGTTAAAAGCTTGTTGTCCTTGTTCTTGTTCGACCTTATGTACCTCGTTTTATTAGTCGTAAGAAGAGGAAAGAAAGA